AAAAAAAAAATTTTTATAATTCTAGCAATTCTCTTGAAATTTTCATTGCCTTGATTTTCCTAACTTATCAAGACAAAGTGTAAATAAATATGGCTATATGGAATGGAGTTAACACAGAAGTGGCCTAGAAGCCACTGGGTCACCCACTGCTCTGTGCTCACTGTGCCATCCTTACATCCCTCTTCCAACACCAGAACCAAGCTGGTATACCCAGGTGGAGAAGCAAAGCTCGGGCTCAAGCACAGCAGAAGCCCAGGAAATAGAGGGTTTCAGTTCATTGTAGAGCAGCAAACAACTAATGGACATGAGAAATCCCTGGACCACATTCTGTTGCATGGATTTTAAGATGAACTTAAGCAATTTCTAAGGCAAAGTAAGTAGAATTTGACATGGAGACACAGCCACCATATTTCAAAGTCCCGGCAATGAAAAACAGAATAGCATGAAAAATAAAATGAAGGAATTTAATTTCTGGGTAAGTAAAAATGAGATAAAAGCAGACTATATAATCTAATAGAAATTAGCATTGGTACTCAAAAAGGAAAAGTACCTGCCAAAGTTACCAGACAAAAAAATATTGAGTGCTCCTCAGTATAAAAAGGACCTTGCATGGGTACAAAAAGAATTGATTGGAATTCTGAAATATCAAAACAAGAGGAAAGTAACAAATAGCTAAAAAGTTAAGGTATCAAAAGAGACTAAACATTATCAAAAAAAGCAACAAAAACTTACTAGAATATAAGAGTATATATCTACAGATAATTCTATGCATTAATGAAAATATTTTTAACATTTAGAACAGGAATGAAGGGTTTATTTTTAACAAAGATCTGAAGTTATCTCTGAATGATTATTTCACTTGGTATTTCGTGGCTTTCAAATTCCACAGTTAACTGGGTTAGGAGTTAAGCAATTAAAAACAGCACTGGGATGCCTGACCAAATGGATGCTGAGACTGCCTGGCAAACACATAAAGCAATTTGAGATGACAAACGAAGTTAATATTAGTGCTCCCATGCTCATCTAAATGTCCAACTTTTTAGGCCTTAGAATGTTTTCACTCCTCAGGGACTACAAATAAAGTTCCTAAGTCTTTTCAGCTCCACAAGTTTGTTTTTGCACAGTAGCTTGTTCTCCTTGACACCTACTGTAATTTTTAAATATTTATTGAAGATTTGTTCATCCACTAAATTCTGTAAGGGAAAAACCTGTGTCTATTCTGTTCACTACTGTATTTCCAGATCTAACACTATACTCAATATGTTTCCATTTGCACAACCAACTTAATCTAGGCTTCTCTGCAAAGCTCCAGTTCCTCCTCTTAATGAATTCTCTGTAATGTGACCAGAACAATTTTTCAAAAATGCAAATCTTTTGAGCAAATAGCTAGGAATGAAACTTGCTGAATCATATGGTAAGCATGTTTTTAACTTTACAAGAAAAGTGGTTACACAATTACAGAAACAAGAAACAATTTCACAACAAAAAGAATGAATTTTACCATATTTAAGTATGTGAATAAGTAAAAGAATGTTTAAATAAACATGATATCACATTCATGCTTTTATATGGTGTATCTCTCCCAATGACTGAAATGACTGTAAACATAAGGGGTAAAAATATCTATGACAGGAGAAAAAAAAACTACCATGACTGGACCAGAATTTAACCTAGTTTAACTTACTTCCGGTCAGAAAGCAGACTGCAATTAACAAAAACTAAAGAGAAAAGTATGAATGCAAACAAACTGGACAGAAAGAAGCAGGCAGAAGCAATGGAATCCAATCTCAGCGGGAGGCCTAGAAAGCCTTTAAGCTTCTCTGCCAGTAAACAAAAATGAGACTGTGCTGTCCACATCCACTAATGTTAGACAAATGGAATACTATATTTACTAATGTATAATCTTAAGTTGTTGCTATCTAGTGTTCGTCCATTTTTAGAGGGTTTTTAGACAAAGCACTTTTATTGTAGACAGTAGTAACTTTTGAAGTTACCAAAAAAAAAAAAGGCACTAAATCCAGACAGCAGAATAGTTTAATATAAAGTTGGAAAAAATTCAAGTGGATGGTGAAGGCTAGAGGGGGAGCAAATTGTAGGTGAAATAATGAAATAATTACCTTTGAAATTACAGCTACTTTCACTGTGAAGTTACATTAACAGATAATCAAGTGGTACTTTAGAGACTGATGGATTAAGAAATAGAGATCTAATTACATTATTAAAGCACTGTCACTGGAAGAACTGAAATAATTACAAAAGTCACTTGATACTAACAGGAAAGTCCATGTATACTAAATTTCTCCTGGCCTGCAGTGACAAAGAATATAGGTGTTGCCTAAAGTTGACAAAGACATAAATATTTACGATCATCACCCTAATATTACTGGCAAAGTGGGAAAGGAGCGTTTCCTTTTCATCTTAACGCCTTTCTGGTTCTTACTAACCGTGCTTAGTTTTCTAACTCAAACCACAAATTACAAACTACATTACAAATTGCAAACTAAAGAGCAACCTACTTCAAAAGTTCCTTTGTGTCCTAAATGTGCCCGCACATACTGTTCCCCCGTCCTTCCACTACCAGCTCCCCACCTCTCAACTTCAGACCACCCGCTTCGCTGACAAAAATCAAGCTGCCCCTCTAGGTTGGCTCCGACTGCAGTCTACTGCCAGAAAAGAGCTCCCAGCAAGGCTCGGAAATTGATACAGACCGAGATGGCAATGAACCGGCTTGTGGGCTCTGTACCCAGTGCCTGGCGCACAGTAAACACCAGACGCCGACTCGATTCACCAACCCGAAGGGCCGCACAAGGTTGGGTCACCCCCACGTCTCCGGCTCAGGCTACCCCGCCCCGCCGGCGCCCAGGCCCAGGCCTTCTTACACTCCGAGATGCGTGTGCGAAACAATCTTTCCGCTGGCGATAGTCGCCGGACCTGGCTCGAAGCCGAGTGCTTGCAGATACATCCAGAGATGTGTCTTCTCGAACGAGGTGACCCAGGCTGAGCTCATCTTCGCGGTAAGTAGGATCACCGCAAAGGGGAAAAGCACAGGCCCACGGAATCAGAGGGCCTCAAACCCCTTCCCTACCGGCACCCGGCGGCGACGGCGGCCCCTCCAATGCCACCGCCTGCTCCACTCTCGCCCGAAGCCATTTCGCCTCAAACGTCCGGAGTCCCCAAGGAGTGGCGCCTCTAACAGTAACACAGAACCGCCGCCTAAGCTTAACCACCACAAACCGAGACTCCCGCGCTTCCAGAAAAGCTTCCGGGGGAAAGTAAGACTTCCGCGCTAACTAACTCCCGCCAAGCAACGCGCCTGTCTCTCAGTCAGGAAACTACAAGACCCACAATACATTGCGTGACGCTGGATTTTTTTTTTTTTGGCGCATGCGTAATCAAAGGCAGTCGCGCGCGGGAAATTTGGGAGTTGCAGTTTGTGGTCTCTGCGGTACATTTTGCTCACCAAGAGCTCTTGTGTTAAAAACCAAGACTGATGAGAGTGCTTGGTGTAGTAGGAAAAGTGCTGGGTTTCATCGTCAGTACTATTCTCAGTAGTTGTGTGACCCTACTTTAGTCTCTTAACCTTTCGATCAAGTCTGTCCGCAAAATCATTTAGGTCCTCCATTGCTGAATGTGCCTTTCATCTTGCTCTATCTGATATCTATCGCTTCCCTAATCATAGTTGCCCTCTCATCAGCCCTCTCAGTTGGTGATTTTTCTTTTCCACACCCCACATAAAGTAGGGTCGGAAAATGTGATGGGTGCTCTTCTTACTTTTAATGTAATCACAGGCAATTATATTAATGTAATCACAGGCAATAACCTCGCTAAAACCTCCAGCTCCTCTAATGTTTATACTCGCCATAAATTCTATTTTTTGCAGGTTTTATATGCAATCTCTGATTGCTGAAACTCGTTCTGATAAGATTTAGCACTTAATTCTCTCTCTCTCTCCAACATTATTATTCCAGGGATAATCTTTCTGGTGATCTTTCTGGTAGGTGTTCTTTCTGGTGCTCTGGCTCTTCAGTGTCTTGACCTCCTCTTCTTTGACTTTACCTTTCATTCTACCTCAGCCACCCATTTTCATTGTTCAGAAGCCTAGACCTTGCCATTATCACACATCCTCTCCATAACCTCAAATTTCAACCCTTGCCTAACTTTCTAGCTCAATGCCTCTAAATCTTAATCCAACAGTCTTTGAACCACCAGAGGAAATTCTAATTCTTTTGCTCTGTCATTGTTTCAGATTCCTTTCATAGCATTCTAATCATGAAGTTGAAACCATCATATTGCCTGGAACCTATCTCTTTCTACCTATTCTTTCCAGCAGAATGCCAATTCTATTAAGTTCAGTTCTCTGTGGACTTAGTGCTTGTACTTGTATCTTAGCACTTAAATGCAACCGTGATGGCTTGTTTACCCTACCATCACACTCTCCACACAATTATGCATATCTTCTGTTTTCCCTTATACTTCCAATACCTTCTTCCTTCCTCCTGACTTGCAATTATGTCCTTCATTTTTAATTAACAGATGCTTCTAAAAACAAACTTCCGGCCCTCCCTGGTGGCGCAGGGGATTAAAGCACTGCACTAAGAAGCTAAAGCTACTTCCGCATGAGTTCGATTCCTGCCTGCACCAGAGGAGATCCACATGGCGTGGCAGAACTCTCCTGACCCGCCCGCTGCTCCCCTCAGCAGTGTACTTCGTCGATCTGCCTGTTCTGTACCCCACTCTGTCTCTGATGAATCCTCTCACCCTCCACATATCTGGCCTGTACCCCAGTTCTATATGAATAAATAAATCTTTAAAAAAAAACAAACAAACTTCCATCAACAATTTAGCAACCTGCCTATATCTTTGCCCATGTAGTCTTCCTCTTTTCTTGTTAATCACTAAGCTGTTGAATCACACTCCTTTTCCCCTACCCAAAGAGTTTACTCCAGCCTTTGTTCTTTTCTCTTTCTTATATAATCATTTCTTCCTATTAGTTTACAAACATTCTGAAATAACTTACATTGTAAAAAAGGAAATAAATTCTTTGACCCCAATGCTGTTCTAGCTACCATTCCATTTCTCACTATGGCAAAGTTTCTCCAAAAATTTCCCTGTGCCTATTTCACTACTGATGGCAATTGCCAAGGCCATTAGTATCAATTAGCATTCTTTGAATGCAGACAGAAAAACTAACTCTAATGGAGGTTTATTAGGTGAGTATTGAGCAGTATAAAGAAAAGAAGGAAAAGCCAGAGCATAAGGCTCAGGAAACAACAGACCCATTTGTGTATGTTGTGTGTATGTTATAGTTATGAGATTTATATGAATATATGTGTTTTTATATGTATTTATGAATTATAGATGAACATCCTTGTACTCACTATCCAAGACAAGAAACTTTCCCAGAGAGGTTCCCAGTGACCAAATATGAGACAATTGGAACTTCATTCAGTATAATTGCAATGCAACACACTGCACTTCATTCAAATATCTATGAGTTCATTATACGTACACGTTCTAATTTTTATGGAAATTATTTCCTTGGTTTGTCTTGTAGTAATACTACTTAAATGTACTTACATTAGACACTGTACTGCACTCTTACCTTTTTGATATTTGTCTTGCTTTCTCTCTTTTACTCTTTTTTTTTTTAGATTTATTTTATATGTGCATTCAGAACTGGGGTACAGGCCAGAGGTGCAGGGCAGTGAGAAGATTCACCAGAGACAGAATGGAGAACAGAACAGACTGATTGACAAAATACACTGCTGAGGGGAGCAGCAGGTGAGACAGGAAAAGTCTGCTGTACCATGTAGGTCAGCTCCCTGGCAGGGGATTGAACTCGTGTTGAAGAGCTGTGGCTAACATCATAGCGCTGTGCTTTAACCCCCCATTGCCCAACCAAGGAGGGCCCTCTTTCTTTTAGTCTTTTAAAAAATAGTGTAATTTAATATACATTTCTCCTTCATTCATACCTCTCCTCTTGCTTATAATTTATCTGTTGAAGAACTGGAACTATGTGACCTGAATAATTTCCTATAGTTTGAATTTTGTTGATTGTATTCTCATGGTATGCTTCAACATGTCTTTAATCTCTGTATTTCCTCCAAATTGGCATCTGGATCTAGAGAACTGATCAAACTCAGTTATGACCCCTTTGGAAAGACTAGGAATGATGGTTGATGCATGCTTCATCACTAAGCAGAACATAATATCTTTATGCCATAACAGGCATTGAGGGAAGATTTCAAAAGGCTGAAATTCTAATTTATCATTTTTTTATAGACTGATGTTTGTGTCCCCTCTGTCAGCTCATATGTGTAAGCCTTCTTCCCCCAAAGGCTTCTATTAAGGAGACAATAAAAATTAAAGGCAAGGCCCTCCCTGGTGGCGCAGCGGCTTAAAGCACTGCACTGAGAAGCTAAAGCCACTTCCGCATGAGTTCGATTCCCGCCTGCCCTGGAGGTGACCACATAGTGTGGCAGACCTCTCCTGATCCACCCGCTGCTCCCCTCAGCAGTGTGCTTCGTCGATCTGCCTGTTCTGCTCCCCACTCTGTCTCTGGTGAATCCTCTCACCCTCCACATCTCTGGCCTGTACCCCAGTTCTGTACAAATAAATAAATAAATATTTAAAAAAAAAATTAAAGGCAAAAGGGGCACTGTTATGACTAGGATAAGTGCCCTTATAGGACTTACATGAGAGCCTGTTTCTTCTCTCCACTGTGACCACCACATGAGGATACAAAGAGAAGTTAGCTCTCTGCAACCCAAGAGGAAGCTCTCCCCAAAAGCCAACCATCTGTATCCTGATCTCAGACTTGTAGACACCAGATCTCTGAGAAATAAATTTCTATTGTTTAAAGGACTTCTTCAAAGGAAATTTGTTATAGCAGTCCAAACTAAGACATCATTCTTAGTGGGGATACTTTTTTTTTTTAAGATTTATTTATTTATGGATACAGAACTAGGTACAGGCCAGAGGAGCAGGGATGGTGAGAGGATTCACCAGAGACAGAGTGAACAGGCAGATAGCTGAGGTACACTGCTGAGGGGAGCAGCGGGCGGGGTCGGGAGAAGTCTGCCCCCCCCCCATGTGGATCTCCTCCGGGGCAGGCCAGGCAGACCAGACTCAATGCGAAAGTGGCTTTAGCTTCCCAGTGCAGTGCCTTAACCCGCTGTGCCACCAGGGAAGGCCCCTTAGTGGGGGATACTTTTAATGGGAGAAGTTTCTCTTCATTTACTATCTAAAGTAAAGAAATAAGAAAATGAAAGACATATTTTTTATTTTTTCCCTTATTTTACCAGTTTATTTTTAATCAGTTTTCAAGGTAAATTGTGTTTACCTTGAAGGTAAATAGTCATCCTGAAGGTAACTAAACATATACAAGTTACTGTGTGTGTGTATAATGAACTCATGGCTATTTGTACTTGATGAGGTTTAATATTTTGCAATTATTATGCTGACTGAAGTACAAATTATCCCATGGTTGGCCACTGGGAACCTCTTCAAATTGGCTTTCTTGTTTTCTGAACCATCAAGAAGTTCAAGTTTTATTTTGTACATTTCCTGCTTCAATGTGAAATGGGTCATTTTTTCCAAGAAGCACTGGTTTCAGAGGAAAAATATATTTCAAAACTACAACCTCATCATTAGGAATGCTCATAGCAACTTTATTGGTCATTGTTTCTACCCCTGAGCTACAGGAAAGAAAAAAAAAAAAAACTTGATTAGCAGATAAACTGAGAATGCCTCAAAAAACAAGAGGATGTTAAGACCATTGTATCAAAATAGGAAAAAAAGGGAAAAACACTTTAAATGAAGATTGTACAGTCCAATTTTAATTATTTAAAATGGCATAAGATATAAATCTAGAATACAAAAATTTTAAATCAATGACTTTTCATTACAATTAAAACCAAGTAGCCAAATAGTAGATCAGAACTCTCCCAAGCCACAGGAATAAACACATTAGTAAATGTGGAGTTTAACTTGACAGGAATTTTATATTCTCCAAGAGTATTGTTATTTATTCAACATTTTGTCTTGAAGAGGACTCAGAATTATTAGCTTATGAATGATCTAATTCATCCACCTCTTCCAAAGCAATAATATCTGGAATTTCATCTGTCTCAGATATGAAGTCCATGGCAGTGAAATCAAATACCTGTAAAAGAAAAACCTTGGATATTAAAACTAATGAAGTGAGCTCATGGAAATATTTATTACTGCATGTGGATAAACCTGACTTTGCCC